TATTATATATATAGTAGTGTGTTAGTGTAGTAGTGTGTGTGTGTGTGTGTGTGTGTGTGTGTGTGTATACGTATGGATGGATGGATAGAGTAGGTGTGTGTATGTGTGTTTGTAGTCGTTTATATGTATGTAGATTCGTTGTCTGTGTCTTAGTGTGTGGTTCTGTGTGTGTCTGTTTCTGTGTATGTATGTGCTCATACTCTATGGGAACCCCCGGTTTCAACCCTCCCTTTCTCTATAACTTTTCGATTCTTGCATAACAAGTGTGAAACACATATCTATCCTTCACGTACTATATTAACTACGTTTGCCTTCGCACCTGAGCAGGAGCTTTACTTCATGCGGCCAGACCAGTATGAACGAAGTTTGCGTGATCACGAATTACCATACAAGATACAGCGACACTACATGCACTGCATGGGATATGCTGACAGGTGTGTGCTACTCACGAATATCTGCTGTGCAAGTGTGTACCCCACGCATCTTGATATGCCAACCCAGGGCTACCACTAGCATATACCACCATCCCTCATCTGGACTGTGTATATATACCTCAAGCGGCCACCAAATACTACCGCACTCAACTGGTGACCGGATTGATACTGTTGCAGTCTAGTCATGAGCTTCTCTATGCTAGGGACAACACACATGCACACGCTCACGCTCACATCGTCCTGTGTGATGAATATTAAGTATGTGTGTATATACTCTGATGTATCTCTCCTACCGCTGTTTCTGTGTTTTCCTCTGACAGACTACAAATCGCCTCGAGCTGTATTTTCTGGGTGATCTGTCTCGCTTTAGTCACACCATAGACGTATGTTGGTCTGCACTCACGCACGCAACACCTTCACCGAGTGCCTTTGATTGTATGCTTATCTATCCTCGTACCATTTCTCGTATGTTCTGATAGGTTACATCTGTGCGATGTGTTCTCTCATGCGTTCTGCTTATTCTGATGACCCCTGTCGAGGGTGATATGTTGTCCCCGTTCTTATCCTCTTTTGCCCATTCCATATACAAACAGCCCTGAGCATGCACTGCCACGCCATGGTAGATCCAAAAAAAACGAATGACAAATGATGTATATTATCTGCTTTTTCATCGATTTTTATTCAATATCAGTCTAAAACACACACACACTCCCTACCTCTTCGCAGCACGTTGGCCGAGTGCTCCAGGCGAGATTTTTCGTACGCGTTTAAGTTTCGCCTTGGTATGTATCTAAGTACCACACCCCGTTCGTCTTAGTATATATCTGCGGCATCACACACACCTGTCCACCGCATATACGCGTCTACCCAGTCAGTCAATGATGGTGCAGAACATAGGGCACTCTTACTAGGGCATACACTATATGTGCATGTGCGTTTGTATGCGTGTCTCTATCCGGTGCATATGGTGACCAGTCGCCAATGCGTACAGTCTGATCGGGAAGTCTCGGCCCATGCAGCGGTGTTCAGACAGTTCAGGATGTGTCATCCGCAACCCGCTACCACCTGACAATAACTGCACACTGGTTTGTTGCCCGACGTCCTAGGAAGGCTTAGTCCTCCCATCGTATACTAGTGAGAACCCTAAACCCTAAACCTTAAAACGCAACAACACACACGCGCACTCTCTCGTATTTACCCTGTATGATAGGCAGAGCTCAGTCCTCGGGCGTGGCGCAAGCGTGCCCATCCATTGGTTTAGGTTTTTTATACCATAGTGTCCCAGTGTGGCAACCCAGCCCATATACCTGTTACAAACACGTGCACTCGGCTTTGGCAAACTCCATTCTGGTGCCAGACATCTGTAACTGACTCAGAGGGGGCTTTATGCTGTGACGTGTATATATCGCTGTGGTCGTGTGACCTAAGCGCATGGTTCTTTTCATAACACAACCAATACTCGCAACTGCTTCGATGCTTGCTGTAAAGAATCAGTTCGATACATTGGTTGTGCATGTAGGCTTTTGCATTCTGCGTGTGTGCGTGTATGTGTATATATGCGATTTATATATATATATGTGTGTGTGTGTGTGTGTGTGTGTGTGTGGTGTGCATATTATGCATGTAGGCTGTTGCGTTGTGCGTGTATCACCATCTCATAGGCTTGATTGAGTGTGGTGTGTCTTGTCCATCTGAATACACTACACACTTTGGGCGAGGCTTGTGCGTCGTTGCGCTGAGATTCACAGTTCGCTTTGTTGGACCCCTCTCTTTATATGTCGGCAGGTGACTGGAGCGCAGAAACGGGAGAAAGTGCAATTCCGCTTACGGAGAATGGATTAATTTTGCATCGTCAAGGTATGTTAGTGGTTATAACTGACCATTAATGTCCTCTCCCTTCTCACGAAATATAATAGATGTGTATGATTTATCGATTCTCATGTTGATGTTCAACTGTTGTGTGTCTTAACCATCTAATAGTTTCCGATTCGTATGTACACTCCTATTAAACAGACTCGCCCCACCTATATACATACTCCTGAGTGTCTCACTCTACGCCTACACCTACCTGCAAACCAAATCTACCTACTCATACCTCACTCACAGGCAGCAAGTTCTTTAAAAGGTGGCGGCTGGTGTACTGTGCCATTGTCAACGGCGAGTTGCGCCTGTCTACAGGTCCCACGAGCACGCCCTACGTCCACCTCAAGCTGTTCGGCTGCCACATCGAAGCCCAGTCCAAGAAGCGGTTCGGTTTCACCATAACGGTACGTGAAGTTACTCATGATAGAGATTAGACGTTAGACGTCTGTGGTGTGCACGTCACACGCCCTTCGTTCGTCTGTACCTGATTGTTCCGGGTGTGTGTGTCTGAGAGTCGGGTGCCTCTAGCGCTGAGTTTGTGCTAGTGTTCGTGTTTGTGCTAGTGTTGGTGTTGGTGCTTGTGCTTGGGTATAAGCTGTGTCTGTGTACCTGCAAGGTTTATGCGAGTTCACACGGTACGACAATCTCATTGTTGATTTCAATGGGTTGTGAAAGTGGAAGTACGGGCGTGTTTGCGCTTCGCAGCCTACCTACCTACAGGGGTCGTATGTGTTCCCGGGCTCTATTAGTTTGTTTACCCACACAACTCGCTCTAGTAGTCCAACACCCGCTGTGGACGAAGATTACACTGCATGCACCATCTACAGACCATCACACACCCACACCCACACCCACACACACACGCGCGCACACACACACACACACACAACAGCCAACGAACCAAATACCACAAACGAAGCATCCGACTCGCTACAATCATCTGCCACGGCCCACACTCCGCTTGTTATGTTGGTGTGCGTCTATGCACTAAACACTATGTGGCATTGTTATTGTACCTTACATGGTGTGTGACGTGTTGAGAATGAGAACTTCTTTTGGTTCTTATGTATTTAGCCGTCACCCTCACAAGGATATATTTATATAAGTACGTATGTATGTGTGTGTGTGTGCATGGATGCATGCATGTATGAATGTGTGTATTTGTGTGTGTGTGTATATATGCATGTATGTATGTATATATGCATGTATGTATGTATGTATATATATATATATATATATATATATATATATAGTGTGTGTGTTGTGTGTGTGTGTATGTATATATTATGTATGTATTTATGTATGTATGCATATATATATATATATATATATATGCATACATATTGAGAAAATTATGTTAGAACCCCGAATATGTTTTTGTGAAGGAGCTATGATGATAAGTATGTGTCAACGTTCATATAAATATACACTTATCATGTAGGCACCATGTTCATATATCAGTGTGTTCTCTGTTGACCTTCACGTAGTAGCTGGGGTTGTATAGCTCCGAAGCCCAATTAAACGATGCCCAGAGTTTGCGTAAGTAATCCGTTTCATCCATTAGAAGTATAGGCAGATACGCCTGTACGCACTGATTCCTGCATCACGTATGTATCTCTGCAAGTGCGCGCGCGTAGCCATGTGTCTATGATAGGTAATATCATTTCTATCTGATGTGTATCGTATGTACTGCTGTAGTAATAACAGTGATGCTCTACCTGCATCAGTTATAGTTTGTCTTGGGTGCGTTGCACTGTATGTCGTATCCATCCGCGTTTTGCAATTGCCCGTACACCCACCCCAGTCGGAAACACGTCGGGAATTCACAGACCAAACTTATATGTATCTAAAGGGAAATCCGAAGGGATGATCGTGCTTACCAGAAAAGGTTCTCTATGCTGTGTTAGAAAGCATTATGTTATGCGATGATACATCTTCTCCACAAGTACGTTGTATGTGTTTATGCACGCAATCCATATATGCTCCATACCTTATTTTGACCGGAGCGTCGTGTGTTGTGTCGCATACCAACCAGGTGGATCTGTGGAGCTTGGGAGTGCTATGTTATGAGTTTCTGGTGGGCAGCCCCCCATTCGAGGCAGAGGTATGTGTTGCGGGTGTAGTTGTGGTTTAAGACGTTGGTGAGCTTCAATGTCTCGGTCTGAGCGGGCACGATGCCGGTAGATAAGTACCTTTCACTATCACGCTGTCACTAGATAATCATTAATATATATATATATATATATATATATTATGCAACACACTCGCCCAGCCCATACGAACTATAAACATGCACACACTCGATGAGGTCAATGTGTCTCGCATGGTACACCATTGGCACATTATTCACACACCATCTCAGCCGATATGGACTTACACTCCCTCACACTATCATCAGAGCATGCATACGCACTATCATCAGCACACGCATACAAAACATTGAGTTGTGTCGTATTTCTTAAGATGAACAATAGGCTCATCGATCGCCAACACACGCCCGATGCATAGGGTCTATATATCTCACACACTCCTCTGAACATGAACGAGTCATCTCAAACGGCGCACTCTAGGCACAGCCAGCACACTCACGCTCACTATTGCCTCACACACACACACACGTGCTTGTTTGCCCCTCTCTCTCTCACTCTCTCTCTCACACACGTGCTTGTTTTCCTCACTCTCACTCACTCTCTCTCACACACACGTGCTTGTTTCCTCACTCTCTCTCACTCTCTCTCACACACGTGCTTGTTTGCGTCACTCTCACACACACACACACACACACACACGTGCTT